TAGTGACGTATCAAACACTACTATTACGTCACCAATATTCAACTCATCAATTGAAACGGCAATATCCGTCATTTTGGAAATTTGTTTCTTTGAATATATTCACATAGAGAGGAACATAACTAACCGAAATATTGTTTTAGACCTGTTTGCAGAAACAAAAGTGATCCTACACAAGACTATATCCCATAAAATGTGATGTGAAAACATATGGTCGAGTAGTCGCCATCGTTGAAATCGGTCACGTAATGTGAACGTATAAAATGATGACACCTGACGCACACTATTATATGAAGTGAGCCATAGCATCGCAAAAGAGGGGCCTGACCTCTCAAGATGGCGACTACTTGATATGATTTCGCCCAGGGACCCGGTAAATCACCTTGTACTGTTATCCCTGAGGGTTGCTTGACAAAACTGGATTTCCATATATGGCGCCCTCTGGAGACCTGGACACAAACCTAGCGCCCATCTGTTCTCACTTGCTCGTGATTCAATCATGATGTACAAAGTCCGTATATAGCGTTCAGGCCATGCTTTCATTGCCCAAGTTTGGCGATGGCCGATATAAATTGATACTAATGACACAGAAAATGTTTTATTAAAAATAAAAATCGGAGAGAAAAAGACCGATAGTTACAGCTATTGCCGTTTTAATTCGTGAATTTAAGTCTAACCAAGGTTTGTCACAATAATGATAAAAACAAAATATTTTGACTGTAAATTTAAATAAAAAAAAACTGAAGAAAATAGATGTATGCAGACGAAAAATGTTAGATTGAAGGGTGATGGTCTTCGCGCAGCGCGTGTTCGAATTCCATGTAAACATATATATTTTACACGTGTTGTATCCTCGGGGCGGACATCCGGGCATTTTCTACCGTCTGGCAACCCTCGCGGTGAAAACAAAGACCAAAAACTCGCAGAAAACGGTACTTTGCGATGGTTGTTGAGAGTCCTCTGAACAGTGTAACAAGATTATCCCTACGTGTGTAACATATATGAATTTGGTTGTTCAGAATTACTTTTAAGTTGAGTTTGTGTTGTTTTCTCGAGTTTTCACCGGCTCCACCGTCGTTCCACAGCAACGCGCACAAAGCCCATAGAAATACGTGGTACAGTGGTGCGCGTCTTAGCAACGTAGAACGTCCGTGACGTAGCTCCGCCCCCGAGGATAGCACGTCGCTATGAGCTCCGTATCGAACAGAATGTGGCGCGACGACCACCGCCCTCAACACCATTGTTACCATGGAAACAGCGACTATACAAAGGTAAGCACTTCAATTCACTACTATATTAAGTAAGTATTTCTTTTAGGTGGTAGATGTGTTTATTAGGCGATGTACAATGTTATTTTGCATACACGTGACGCTTGTGTATGTTAATATGAATTGTTTGTTTTCATATTAATATAAGTTGCACCGCGTCTTGGTTGACAACATACTGCATATATAATATATTGAAATATTGAACTAATTGCAAAATAGTCGTACTAATATATCTAGGTACACAATGACGTCATTAAATATCAATAATCACTCATGGCAAACCACTTTTCTTCTCGAGTCCCGCTGTTTTTGTTCTTCTTGTCGGAAAATGATCAATATCGCTGTATTTATAATCTGGGCCAGGTATTCTTTAATAATGGGAAACGCTTTGATTTATCGATAATAGTGCAGTGTGTTCATCATATGTGTTCTCTCTTCTTTATTACTGAGAAAAAAGACATTTACAGTTACTGTAAAACCATTTATTTTCATTGACATTTAGTTTCACTATTTTGTTGTTTTGAGCATATTCAATGTGTTTTACTTTTACGAATTTGCGAATGAGTTTTATTGTTATTTTACATATTCACGTAGATTTAATTTAGCGGATTTTACATATCAGCGAAAATAACAAAAAAAATATCAGCGAAAATAGTGAAATTAAAACCCAGTGAATAATTAATACATTTACAGTATGTTTTAATATATAACAAATACCTTTCTAGGCAACTCAAGTAAGTCGATTGACGTTCACTGAAAAATAGTTGCAATCGTCATACTGAAAAAACAAAAACAAAATCGCGATGCTGAACTTTGCGTGACATCGCTCAGAAAATAACAACAGTTTGCAATCAATGTCAAAAACACTTTTTCACATTGACACACTGAGAAGACGAGATGTACGTGTTGGAGTGAATTGTCAATACCTGATAACGACCATGATTTGCCATGGTTTAAGACGATTTTAGCGGAATTCTGAGCATCTTAGAAACACGTTGCTATTATTTCCTATTTAGACATAGATATAGTCTGGTATAGAGATATAACCGTGACCCTAGACCTCAATTTGTGATGACCGCTGGATGACCCGAACATTAGTTTCAGCATCAACAACCCTTGGCCATAATAAGATTCATTAAAAATAACGTTTCTTGCACGATTCTGACACAATAATTAAAATTATTTTGGGGGAATTTGTTGATTTGTCCTTGTCAAATAAATATGACCACTGTGCTCACTATCTGTTTGTTATTTACTAGTTCAAGTTATATATGTATGTAGTTATTACCGACGATACACGACGAATTACGAATATCGCCGACGATGCTGAATGTGAAGCTTTTTTTAGATCATAAACAATATTAAACTACAATCCAGGGGAATAATACATAATAATAGTTCCTTTAAAGAACCACATTACCCCAGAGTTGAATATGAACAAGAGAAATGTGGACTCCAATTTATAACCATACAATTAAATAAATAAATAAATAAATAAATATTAGAATTAGTGGATACCTTGACCGTTTAACAACTCTGTGAAATTCAACCGCATTGTGTTGGTTGTATTTGTCGAACATGTTTGTCTCTAACACGGCGGACCAACATGCTGCACAGTGAAAGAAAAGCCATGTTATTCAAACGAAAGGGATTATTTAAACCATGCTAGCTGTTATGTGTCGGAGTGAACCATTTACGATATAGGGGCCGTTCTTGTAACTTTGTCACGCTTATATACTTTCTGAGGGCGGGGTGGGGGTATGCTGAGTGCTGAAAAAACGAAATAACATCGTATGAACTCACCCCTCATATTGAACAAATGTGTCCCAAGTTTCAACATAGTGTTAAGTTGTCTTTTCGACGTAAGTACTGACCTGACATCTTTTGTATGCACTCCACCCCTATATTTTAGTATGGTATCGTCTATATTCGAACGACCTTGTATATTACTGCATTGCGATACAATAAATATTAGATACACAATACAAATACAAAATCACCAATGAATACGTAGAAATTATTATATTTCAATTTGTCTCACAATTGTTTTTGAAACCATTTTGACTGTGATGCGTACCACGACATTGTAATAATATACAACTTTTATGTTATGTTCTCTACTGTTTCACAATTCACGTGGAACCATTTTTACTTAGTTGCTCTAATGATGCATTTAAACGTCACAATGAACATAATAGTCCTAATTAATATTCATTATTCATGGCGCATTGAACTAAATTGGCCAATGCAAACAAGGGTATCAATATCACTACCCAGCCCAACAATATTGGCGTCTTCATCATAACATCGCCAATTCCACTGCATCAAGTAACTACCGAGAGTCACGTGTTCCAATTCCAAAAATGATTCAACATATAAGCAGAGCTTTTATGAACACAACAGGTAAAATTATTAATTATTCATTATCAAGGTTCAGGAAATTCACGTTCGTTGCTATGTCGATTTCATGCTTGTTACATTATTCATCGCGGCATCGATTGCTAATAAGGGGCATTGAAATATCACATATTTTAATTTCATAATATAATATAATGTAGTTGTAAACTTAACGCTGCGTACAAGCACGTTTTTATGTCTTTTCAAATTTTTGCGTTAGGTGAATATCAGCATTTAGAATCATGACATTATGAAAATTTTAAATATAATCATGCCTGGCATTGACATATATACGCTGAGTCAACACATCGATCGTGTGTTTGGCCAGGTATCAGTAGGTATTTCTGTTGATGTGTTTTCTCGATCAAATCACCATTAGTACGTACCAAGTGTACAGTTATAAGCTGATATCGCAGACACAGTAACGCACACAACAACTTAGACATTTTCACCAGACAAAGTTCGTTTATTCGGCAATCGCCTCGTGGGAAGTACGTTTACCTGTAGCTTGCGAAACCGTGCGATTTGGACGACGTGAATTGCGGCGCTTTAAAAAAAAAAACATTAAAAACATGAAGACCTTCAAACGCCGCAGTCAAAATTTCTGCACGTACTGGGAGAAACAATTAAACGAAGGGAAAAAATAAGTAAAAAAATCAATTCATTTCGGTCTTTAAACACAAGCGATAACAACAAAAGAGGAAAGTACAAGAGGCCAAGTGTACAAGGATGTTCATTCATAATATGGGCGACAGTCTGTGACTTGTCAAAAAAACTCAGAAAACAAAAAACGGTATTGTGGCTTCTCTATCTACATCTCAAATGGCTTAATCCAACACGCAGTATTCTTTCTCAAGCACATACTCCATTAGGTTTCTTCTAAAGTCAACAAAGCATTCAAGTCGATGTACAAGTTCAAAACAACTTATGTATTCTGTCAAAGCCAGTTGGAGGTACGCGATGAATTAATGAACTGGTGGAAACGTGTTATGTATTACGGCCACTGTACCAATGAAATGCCCTCCAGGTCTACATGGAAGTTCGCTATGCCAATATACGAATGTTATTCATAAGACTTGTGTCTGTACTATCGGGTTTCAGTATAGCGAGACAATGCCCCAAGAGCACTCTATACCGATATATTGCCTTCAAATCTGCGGCTGGTTTTGCTATACCGATGTAATGCCCTTCAAGACTGTATCGGGGTTATATATATATCGATGTAATGGCTTTAAAGTCTGCATCGGGGTTCTATATACCTATATAATGCCTCAAAGTCTGCACCAGGGTTCTATATACCGATGTAATGCCTCCCAAGTCTACATCGGTTTCTGTGCACCAATATAATGCCCTCCAATATTGGGCATCGAGGTCTCATGTACCGCTGCAATGCGCTCCAAGTCTGCATCGGGGTTCTATAAACCGATGTAATGCCTCCTAAGTCTGCATCGGGGTTCTATATATCGATGTAATGCCCTCCAAGCCTGCATCGGAGTTCTATATACCGATGAAATGCCCTCCTAGTCTGCATCGGTGTTCTATATACTGATGTAATGCCCTCCAAGTCTGCATCGGGGTTCTATATACCGATGTAATGCCCTCCAAGTCTACACCGGGGTTATATATATATATCGATGTAATGGCTTTAAAGTCTGCATCGGGGTTCTATATACCTATATAATGCCTCAAAGTCTGCACCAGGATTCTATATACCGATGTAATGCCTCCCAAGTCTACATCGGGTTCTGTGCACCAATACAATGCCCTCCAATATTAGGCATCGAGGTCTCATGTACCGCTGCAATACGCTCCAAGTCTGCATCGGGGTTCTATATACCGATGTAATGCCTCCTAAGTCTGCATCGGGGTTCTATATACCGATGTAATGCCCTCCTAGTCTGCATCAGTGTTCTATATACTGATGTAATGCCCTCCAAGTCTGCATCGGGGTTCTATATTCCGATGTAATGCCCTCCTAGTCAGCATTCGGGTTCTATAAATCAATGTAATATACATACATTTATTACCAAGGTTACATTAGCGTTGAAACTGAAACCGACGATACACAACGAAATATAAACACCGACGATTATTGTTTCAGATCACGTCACATGACCGAACTTAACGGCATCCAACAATTTGAATGCACAATCTATTGGAATAATACATTTCCCTATTAGGAACGACCATCTTAACTCTGAGTTGAATATGAACAAGAATAAATAATATAACCATGTAAATAAATAAATAAATAAATAAATAAATAAATAAATAAATAAATAAATAAATAAATAAATAAATAAATAAATAAATAAATAAATAAATAAATAAATAAATACTTTGACCGTTTAACAACTATGTGAATTTCAACCGCACTGTGTTGAATGTATTTGTCGTACATGTTTGTCACGGCGGAATAACATGCTGTACAGTGAAAAAAAGCCATGTTATTCAAACTAAAGGGATTTAGGTTACTGGTATCTATTTTGTTTTGGAGTAAACCATTTATGAAATAGGGGCCGTGCTTGTAACTATGTCACGTTCACATTGCTGAAACGCCGTAAAAGACGCGTCAATTATTGCAATTTAGCTCACAATTGTGTTTCGACATCATTTTGTCGGAGTTACGTACCGCGTTCTCCAATGTTTCACAATTCACATCGAGCCATTATTAAAATTGCTCTAATGATGCATTGAAACGTCACAATGAACATAATAGTCCTAATTAATATTCATTATTCATGGCGCATTGAACTCAATTGGCCAATGCAAACAAGGGTATCAATATCACTACCCAGCCCAACAATATTGGCGTCATCATCATAACATCGCCAATTCCACTGCATCAAGTAACTACCGAGAGTCACGTGTTCCAATTCCAAAAATGATTCAACATATAAGCAGAGCTTTTATGAACACAACAGGTAAAATTATTAATTATTCATTATCAAGGTTCAGGAAATTCACGTTCGTTGCTATGTCGATTTCATGCTTGTTACATTATGCACCGAGTGTCTACTCATCGCATCGATTGCCAACATGGTGCCTTGAAATATCACATATTGAAGTTTCGTATAATATAAAAAATATAATGTAGTTGTAAACTTTTCGCTGTCATCATTATTATATATACGTTTTTATGAGTTTTGCAAATATCAATATTTCGAATCATGATATTAAGATAATTTTGAATATAATCCTGTCTGCTAATGATATATATACGCCGAGTCAACACATAGATTTTCGATCGTGTGTTTTGCTAAGGCTCGGTAGATATTTCCGTTGATGTGTTTTCTCGATCGAACCACCGTTTGTACCAAGTCTACATTTGCGAACAGATATATCGCATCCACGATAAAAAGTATGGGCAGTAAGTTTACATCGGGCTCGCAAAACCGCGCGATATGGTCGATGTGAATTGGAACATTTCATATACAAAGACCTTCGATTGCCACGGTTTCAATGTGTGCACGTATTAGGATAAAAACATGTTTAAAGCTGAAAAAAAGAGTGCACCAAAACAAATCGAGTCTTTTCAGCCTATAAACAGAAGCGATTACAACAAAAGAGGAAAGTACAAGAGGCCAAGTGTACAAGGATGTTCATTCATAATATGGGCGACAGTCTGTGACTTGTCCAAAGAACCCAGAAAACAAAGAACGGTATTGTGGCTTCTCTATCTACATCTCAAATGGCTTAATTTATAAACGTCGTATTCTTTTTTTAAATTAAATGTTCCATCTGCTTTCTTCTAAAGTAAACAAAGTAATCAAGTTCAAAACAGCGTATGTATTCTGTCTGAGCCAGTGGGAGGGAGGCGATGAATTAATGAACTACTGGAAACGTGTTATGTACTACGGGTCTACTTGGAAGATCGTTATAGTGATTTAATTCCCACATGATACCGATATTATCCTTCCCGGGTCTGCATCGCGGATCGGTATACCTATATACGAATGTTATTTCCCTATAGCGAGACAAACCCCCGATAGCTCTGTATACCGATGTAATGCCCACAACACTACATCGGGAAAACAACTAACAAATAACGAAATAGCAAAATAGATTCAGAGAGAAGAGAATTCGAATCAGCATGTCGACTGCCTCAATCCAAGCAACAAATTAAAAAGAGGTATATTATTATTATGTATTAGTATTAGTATTATTAAAAATTATATTTTTGACTAAATGAATTTTTGTTATTTCTCTGTTTCTATTGTAGTGTAGTTACTCTCAATATCCCAAAGTAGACACGATAACAATATCGATTTTATTGCCAGTGCAACACCCTCTCTGTTTGTGACGGTCGAGGTATACTATACCGATGTATTGCCTTCCACGTATGTGGTATGACACACTGCAATAATATCTTTTCCCCGAACGTCGGGTCACACGTTTCCTTTCATTTTCAAAATAACCTTTTGCAAGGTATGCCATTCTAGTATTTTAAACTGGTTTATTGAAATATAATACTGTGATACACTCGTTTAGTGGAATTTTCAGTGAAACGGTCGGCTACCACTACAGCAATGAATACACTAAATGTGATGGTTCATCGTTCTCCTTGAAATAATACACCTTTTTTTCTGTTACCGCATTTCCAGGTCGCCTAATGCTGACAAGACAGACGTGTAAGCAGATTCGTAGAATGTCGTCTGGCGCACCAGTGGAAGTCATACCGTACGGTAATTTGATGTTGTTTACTGGCGCAGTACTGGGCATTGGTAGCTGGGCTTTTGTAAGTACCATTATGGCAAATCAATTAACTAGGAATTGTCTGTGTATACGTTTAAAAGGTCCTGTAGATCGTCTCCGTGACCCCTGGCCTCTATTGACCGTTGTGTAAAGTGCATACGTGCTTTCTAGTTCTTTATGTCCCCCGCTGCATTCACCCATAGAATTATCTTATAAACACACATTTAAAAAAGTAAAAGTTTTTTTTAATATTACACTTATTGTTGTATATATACGTCACAGTGGTTACCATATCACGTGATAATTAATCTGTCATAAGATGCACGACCAAACATATGGATCTGACAGAATAACATAACGACGGTACTTGTATATTAAGTTAAAGACAATGCCAATGATGTGGGCATTACAGCTAAGCCCCCACGGAAACGTCGTATTTAGTTAAATTACAAATCAACGTTAAAATAAACTGTACTATATCGTTACCTCTATTTACAAGTAATCACTGCGAGACTTCATTATAGCGCCAGCTTATTATATTACTAGATATGTAATTTCATAATTTCAATAATGTTTATTTTTTATTTTCTAATCGCCCACATACACCCATTAACTAAACCAATGATAGCGTTGAATTTTTCTTTCAGCGTGATCAATTATATATGCCTGATGTATAATAAGAAATTAATTAATTAATTAAAGTTTCAAATATTAAGTTAGATTTGTAAACAATATACCCTCACTAAGTGAAGAGGTGGTGCTTGTCCTCGAAGGCCGGTAGTTGCCATATATCTCTGGTATTGTGACAACGACCGACGGGCGTTCTCGATTTGTCAAAGTTCACCAAAAGGCGTTTAGGCGGGAGAGGGTCGAAGTGCAATTCCATATAGTTTGCGAAAATATCACTTTCAAGATTTCCCCTCCGTTATATGTTTATATGTTAAATTTTTGAGAGGGGTATCTGGAGTTACATGAAATTACTTATATTTTTGGTGAACATTGACGAGAAATGAGAAACCCACAAGAAAACTAAAAACAAGGCGTCAGAGTGGTTGTTTAGCTACCTGGCATATACGATTTTATTATATAGACCGAGCAGCAGTTGTCGACGCATAATTGATACAAATACAGCCATGACTTGCGACTCTAACATTTAAATACATGTTGTACTTTTTTGCTCGATAGGTGGCTAAACATGGAATTGTATTGTGTATGGAACCATCACGTAACATCAGAGCACCCGACTGGAGAGAACTCAAGTCAACACGAGAATAAATAACACTCCGGCCATTGAGAGAAACTTATACTACTCGTTATTTGCAATCTGATGAACCTTATTAAAGACGACAATGACAACACCACTAGTGACTAGTAACTAGTAACCGCGACTAAACACATTATTTCATTTACGTTAATAGAGTATTCTGACTGCGTTCCTCGTACCAGCATTACATGTACATTGTTATGTAAAACGGAAACTACCTCTTGTTTCTTTTTTGTGTCGCAAAAATATAGTTAAATATTATAAAATATTCTTTTCCGCATTCTGTTAAGAATTCCCTTAATTAAAGGACATTATATTTATTTCAGGTTGCAATATAATAGGTAAGAACAATATGTTGCAAAAATAAAATGTAATGGTAATTACATGTACCCCCTCCCAGTGGGACGGAAAGACTGTGGCTTTAAGTGAGAAATTACATACCATATGGGTAAACAGCCTGTTTGGCAATGAGTTAAAAGAAGCTGACGTCACTGTCGACTACGTATACATTCATAATTACCCACATTATCAGAAAAACAATGCCGAATAATTACTATGATCTAATAACTTCACACATCAACACGTGGCATATACACAATATACTCAAAGAACTGTCGATTCGTCACGCTCTAGCTTGTCTCCGTACTGCGTATACTAGTATACTGGCCATACTTACACGCGGACATGCGTGGCCCTATGACTTATTATAAATGAAACGCAAATCGTTTATTTTCCAATGAGTGACTGTTTTATTAATTCACTTGTTTTTTTAGCAACAGCATATCATTTTAGATTGTGAGTGAAAAAAGTAACAGAAAAAAACAACGCGAAAACAATGCACTGGTCACACTCCTCCAACTCCCAACCCCCCCATGATTCCAAATAGTCTACCCCTAATGCATATTGAACCAGGCATGGCCACCGTGCAATAAGCGAAATATGGGATCACTCGGGTCATACGAGAACCAAGATAGAAATCTACCCAAACAGAAACAAATAAAGAATTTGTAAAATATCGATACTCTGATCTCAATATGCCGTCACAGTTATGACAACCAGCATGCGAGTGTAATAACAAATTTCATTCACTGATCATCACTAACCCACGATCTTATTTGACAACATTACCCTTAGTTATTAACAAGAACTCATGCACGCATATTTACATACGAATAAATGCTTACTTTTTCATTGTTTTAATTAGAAAACAGTCCTCAAATTAGCATTATTTTCATAATATTTGTTTTCTAATTAATATTATTATACATCTGTCACCGTAACGCCATAAGTTACAGTGTGCCGTAATTTTGCGGTATTTTACGGGGTATTTTCATCCTACCATATAAGGAAATGCGATTTCCAAATATGAAATGATTATGCGCGTATGCGTCCTCTAATAAAAACAAATATGGCTGCCACCAGGGTTTGACCGGACTCCACACAAAGAAGTTCGCTGATTCTGTTCTAAGCTTTTTGAATTTCGGCATTCTCATGATGTATCCTTGGAAGGAAAATATGTATAACAGTAAGGTTATTACGGGGATATCTCAAAGTATGCACCGAGACAGTACGCGCGTCGGTCGATACTCTCACTGTACTGTCTTCGTGTATACTTTGAGATATCCTCGTAATAACCTCACATTATGGTGTACCAAGCCCCAGTAAACATTACAAATTTCCAAGCGATATTTACCAATTTTACAAATATTATTAGTTGGCTTCTGCCCCAAACAGCGAGTTGAAGTAAACAACTACAGTATGAATCCATTTTATGTCTGTTCCATGTATAAATCAGAGTTTGATTATTTATTCATTATTGTAGAAAATTACTTCAAAATGGCTTTTGGTGAGGCAGCCAACTTGATTAGAACTGAAAACAAAACACGAGTGTAATTGATGTGCCTGTGTGCGGCCTGGTCTTTTCCTTATTATATATTTATATATGTTTAAGATACTGATGATACTGGCGGAGCAAAAATTGACCAAACTTGAATTGTGTTCTTACTTCAGTATTAGTCGCCAGAGTGCCTCAAAGAAGATAGAAGTATAAAACCAGAGGTGACGTTTCCCCGGGTCAATGGCCTGCTCTTCTCATGGAAAATACCGACGAGTAATGCGAAAACAAACCTACAGGGCCACCGACCTAATTAACCTAATGGCTAATATGTTATTATCGCCTTAGTTTGCGATCTTCAATGATGAAGAGAATTCTTGATTTATAAATAGAGTAGTTGTGTGTGATTATTAGATTACGCTGAACGAGAACGAAGAGCAGCATCACATAATAGCTTCTTCAGCAACATATCCAATTGTAAACTGCTCTAAACCGTCTTGGCGTTCTGAGTGCATCTATTTCGCAGTCTCTGTCGATCAAATCACAACTTACAAGGAAGCTGAAAACAGAATTACTCCACGGAAACACTCTTTAAAGATTCATCTTGTTGACATCATTCATTCGACAGACGGAAATCAGGAGTTCAGTTTAAAAAAGGAATACCCAATTTTTTAAAAGGATGATTAAGGTACGAGGTTATCGCGGATTAAAAATGCTGTTAAGCTTTACTGTGATTTCTATATTGCTATGAACTCTATATAAACATTTCGGGGAACCTAGAATTAATATACGCTGCTAACAATTACCCATAAATACCTATAAAACAATTGCCATTGATCTATGATATTTAGATTTACTAATATTAACTGATGTTTTTTTTTACAATACAATAATATAACACAAAGCAAAGGGAAACTGTTACATCTCGGCTGGCTTTCGTTTATGATATTACATGCTACCCTGAGAACAAATACCTCATATCGGTTAGGAAAACCAGGATTGTAAACCCAAATATTTATTCAATGAAATTCAATTAAAGCAGGAGGGTCGTCACCTGCGCACGCGCGGGAATTGAGTCCCAAGCGACGATAACAACACACGCTAAAATTGCAAATGCTCATGGGTAGATGCTTGTTTGTAAACAATGACACGCTATGGCCATCTGACGCAAGCGCAGGTGACATCTCCCCCGCTTTAAAGAATCTGAATATAATTGAATTTTGCTAAAAACAAAGCAGAAAATCAGCGCCAGTCATTGTGACATCTCAATATAATATAGTTATAGGGTAGATACATGGTGAACAACATTCCCCCTATGAAACAGATACGGGCCAACGAGGATAGGTGGAAGTGTCAGCTACTATTTAATATTTCTATTTAAAAGACAGTAAATTCTTTAAAACGTGAAATGAAATACACATACCACTATTTTGAAAAAAAATTGTAAACAATAAGTTATGGATACTTGTGTACGTGAAAAGATTCCCCCTCCATTATGACAAATGGTCACCCCTTAATCTGTTTCATGAGAAAACTGTGCCCACCATTTACAACAAGAATTGCTGAGATGTAAAATTTTGCTCACCGAATTTTGCTCAATATTCATCTAACCTGAACCTCTTTGGGATAGTCTGTAGCTGTAAGGTCCAATGCCATGGCGTCGTTGACACAGAGTTTCAAAGTTTTAAATAACACAGGAGATGAACCACGCTGGGTGTTGTTTATTACAAGCTGTGATAGAATGCACTATTAGGGAAGGGTGCGTTATTTTTGATGGATGGGTTATGGGTAGACAAGAATGAACAAATAGTATGATTTCTGTAAGTAAATACCATAAACCCTATTAATCTGTTGTTATGGTGATTGAAACAGATAACTACCGACAACGATGCAAGTTCTGTTATGTATGGTTATATTATAATAAGAAGCACGGGAGGGTAAAATCGGTTTTCTGAAAATACTTTTTATATGAGGACAATTAACAGGCATGAATGTTTACCTTAGTTACCCTACAAAAATAACGGCACTACCTTAATTAGAAGTATACTACTCGCTTTCCATGCTACTGCCTCCGTCAAGATCTTATCTACTGATATAGTAGAAGGCACCAATGAAAGCGCTCCGAAAATCAATAAATAAAGCGTTGAATCCTCCCTTTTCGATGCAAGTTAGTATGTATGGTTATAATAAGAAGTACGGAAGGGTAAAATCGGTAACTTGGTTTTCTGAAAATACTCACTATGAGGACAATTGATAGGCAAGAATGTTTACCTTAGTTACCCTACAAAAATAACGGTACAGTCTTAATTAGAAGTATACTCTGTTTCATACCACTGTCTCCGACTAAAGGTCAAGATAATATCTACTGATACAGTAGAAGGCACCAAGCAAAGCGCGCCGAAAATCAATAAATAAAGCGTTGAATCCCCCTTTTCCAAGTTCATGTTTCATCACTCTGTCGAAACAATGTTAAATTGAGGACAGTTTCCTTATTAAAACACAATAATATAGCAATCATTATTTCGATTTTTAAGTTCGATATGGGACTCATTGTTTGTTTACAGGAACTTCGAACACGCGCTGCGCGACGACAACGGCCCTTTAATGACACCGTTACTATTCTCAATTTTTTTGTTAGGTTGAGTGAGTCACTATAATAAATCATTTTGATTAATATTGGCTGATAATTGACAATGATTTTCTGAAATGGATAACATCAACTCAAGTTGCAACGATATAGTTTAAACAGCAATAGTTCACGAAACAGCGCCCCGATAGGTTGACATACAATTACTTTGTTTTTATGGTATTGTTCGAAAAAAAATGCTAACCAGACTTTTTTTATTCCTTGTTTCTCGAGTTTTGATAAGGCAATTTGTTTGAGGTGAAAAAATAAAATATTTTTTTTCCATTAGATTTGTGTGATTCTCAAAGAATGTTAAGCGAGATTATTGATCGGAGAGAATAAATGAAATCAAATTTTATTCCAAGTACAACCTTGTTTCTCATCTGCGCGAGACTTCAGTACTTTGATCATGATACTCCCACGAAAATGCAACTTGGGTTTTTTATGCGGCGGCTCCTGTTCATTCGGCGGGTTCGCAAAACAATGGATGATAAAAGTCTGGCCTAATAAAAAATATCCACGTTAAACACTCTGTTTCTGAAAAGCAATGCATATCTATGAAAATATATGGTTATGTATATAATTATCATTTTACGCCATCAGCACTTTCTGATGGTATTGTCATTGTATGTTGTTTCCGTCTTTAGATGTGAACTAATAGTTGTTTTGTATCGGTATTTAGGCTTTGTGGTGATATTGTAACTATTTCCGGTGCATATAAATTTGTTGTTATTTAGACAGTATCACCAACGTGAACCACAAAAATGAATCGCAAAGGTAGAAGTTAAAGCGGGAGGGTCGTCACCTGCGCACGCGCAGGAATTGAGTCTCAATCGACGATAACAACACACGCTAAAAAC